ATGTAAACTCTGCAATAAACGTAGATTATAATTTGATCTCAATATCTCCCAGTTTGCTCCTGGCTTCCGCCCAAGCTTGCTCAGCCTCCTTTTGTCTCTTGAGCTGAAGACGTTGTTGTTTGCTCAGCTCATCTCGTTCCTTGACCAATAGACTTCGCCTGATGACATTGGCTTTTCTCGCTAGGTCGAGTTGCTTGTCATGAGCTTGTTGATCCTTCTGCTTGATTTCTTGATCCTTCTTCGCTTTCCTATCGTAGTGCCCACTTTTGAGATAACGATCTGCTACATCAACAAATGTATAAGGTGATCGCCCGGCCCTTGCAGGATAAAACCATTTGTATTTTGTGGCTGATTCGAGCACCTTGCCATTCTCGTCGGTGGTCGAGACAGAAACCACTGTTACAGACTTGGCTTTTGCTGCCGCACGCTCCTCTGCGAACTTCTTTTTTATTTCTTCTGCCTCGGCATGGGCCAGATCCAAATGTTGAGTGAGGGGAGGTACCTAAAGAGAATGGATGAGGTTATTAGACGAAATTATCGAAGAAACACCTACAATTTCTTCAGGGACGACTTCGAAGAAAACTCTCTGAAGACGGTCGGACTCTCCTATGGAGAAAGTATCGAGATCCAGGTCTATGCGATTCGCCACATCTCTAGCTCTGACAATTTTACGATCTCTCTCAGCGTTGGGCGAGGGTACGCCTAGGTAACGCTCCATCTCGGCTTGAAAACGATGCTGGCAGGGGCGATTCTATGGAACATTGGTCAGATCAAAGTCGCAATGACAAGGAGAGGGATCAGATGGGGTTGAAACGGTTATAACCATGTGTAACGGGTTTCTCATTCCCAGCTGGTCTTTCATTTCGCGAATGATAACAAGTCTCATCAGGAGGTGAAATCAAAACGTCAAACTTACCTCCTATAAAGCGAGATGAGCAGACAGATAAGTCAGCACATGGTCAATAATATAGGAAAGCTCAGCAAGTGAAGAAATTAAAGATGCCGATCACAGAGTTCTCGATGCATTTATGTCATAGGAGTCATCTGGCGACGATATAAATCGAAAGATACGAACCTAGCAAAGTTGTCAGTCACGGAAGGATAAAGAGAGAGAAGTAAAGCAGTAGATCAGATAGCCATGCATGTATAGAGTTTTAACCATGGTGAAGTCTTCAAGACTAATCGATTTTTGGGGCTCATCATGGAAGGGTCAAGAAGGTAACAGTAAACGATATAGATACCTTCATCCACAATTGCTCCAGCTTTTTCAACCGTAAAATGGCTTTTATACGGCCAATACCAAGTCCAAATTCTTTGCTAAGTCTTTGTTCGCTGAATTTATCTCGCATATGCAAGTTGAAAATTTGCGTCTTGGTTTTATCGCTGATGGGGGTAGGTGGTTTGAAGGTGGGATTGCTTGGGAAAGGCTAGTAAGAAGAGGGATTTTTATGAGCTAATGCTTGTTGGTCATTTCCAGTGAGTACTAACAACTTTGCCTCCTAGCCAATTGGTTCCACCTTCCCGTGGCCTTTTATACTGCATTCCTTCCGTGAATAACCACCGAACATGCTCTCCTTGTGGCTTGGTAGCAGCTAGACTTTCGTCGCCTGCCTCATCAAGCTCACGAGCATTGTCGGCATACCATCTGCGATTGGATGGTAATGCGACACGTTGAGCTAACCTTCGATTTCGAGTTAACGCCTTGATCTGATTAGCTGTTTGTCGAGCTGAACTCTTTGAACAACATGTTGAATTGGGTAGGAGAAAAGTCAGCATAGGAAAGTCGAAAAGTTTAAAACTCCGCTCCATCACCTGCATTCCGACCATCTCGAATTCCTAACGGCCAAGAATAATTGATGATAAATGAAAATTCTATAAAACTGACCAAGCGGATAAATTTCACGTTTATGGCTCACATAGGAAGCAGTATCTTTCTGCTATGGAATAGGTCTACGCGGAAATCTTGGATTGAATGACATATACGAATGTATACCAGTTATACATTTGAAGAATCTATAGCAAGAGATAAACCAGATGTCCATATCGAAGGGAAAAATAAAGTCCGAGTGTGAAGAATAGCAATGTGTGTATCGAAGGGAGAGAGAAAGCGGTGAATATAATCAACAGTAGTAAAGCCTCGTAATTGGGACACATAGAGACAAGGTAGCCAATCAAACGAGAAAAGACAAAGATGGGGTATCGACTACCTCCCGGGAGTCGGGGTAGGATTTTGTTTGTGCGTCAGCCTGTCAAGGAGCGAATATCCAACAGTCGCAATTCCGTTCGTCAGGGCAGTACCCAGCCCACCTGATTGATTTGCTTGCTGCTGCTGTGATGACGGTGGTTGCTGCTGGCCGGAATAACCAGAAGGTGGCGGACCAGCCGGAGGACCACTACTATATCCTCCGGGAGTGCTATTACCACTGCCATATGTGGGTGTATTGTTATAACCCTGATACATATTGTTCGGCTGCGGCGCAGAGGGTGGGCGATAGTTCGAGTTCATGGCTCCACCGCCACCTGCCGAAGGAGTGTTGGGCCACGAACCCGGCATCTGGTTGTTTGGATACGCATTGGCTGCAGGAATCTGGGAATATGGCCGTTGTGGCTGTTGCTGCTGTTGTTGCTGCTGTTGCTGCTGTTGCTGCTCCTGTCGCCGCTTCCTCTCATCCTTGGAGTCCTCCTTTTTGTGACTCTTGTGTGGCTTTTGGTTATTATTGTTATTGTTATTAGGGAATGAAGGAGGAGGGCCAGTGGGTGGGTACAGAGCCATAGGATAACGGTACGGGTTAGGGGAGGGATCCCTCCCTGGCTGTTGTTGCGGCTGCTGCGGCTTTGAGAGCTTGTTCCCAGAAGACGAGCTAGGATGAGATGACCCTGCAGCTGGCCTTGACGGTTCGGGATCGCGTCCAGTTCGGCCAGAGGACTTTGCGGGTTTGTTATTAGGGGAAGAAGACGAGGAAGGCACCGCATTCGCTGCCTTGGGTGATGGTTGTTTGGCCTTTGGCTGTAACTCTGGCATGGCAATTTTACTGAGGTGGACAGTGACCGTCTGAGGAGGGATATACGGCTTGCCCTTCTTCTTTCCACCGTCGTCCAAGTTGATGACCTTGGGACCCGCATTGACAGGCTGTACATCCTCCATGCTGACGTATTGATGTAAATCCTCATCATGTCTCACGGACTTGTAGTAGAATCGTTTCGTGGCCTCGGCCACTTGGATAACTTTTGCGACATGTTCCGAAGATTGTGGCCGGATCACAATGTACAACATGGACTCGTCCTAGTAATTTATTGTCATTATTAGATCCTTATTTAATGGTGAAACCTCGAGACTTGCCTTGAGCATATCGACACAGTGTTTTGCATAGTCCTCGGGGTGCCCTTGATCCCCGACAATCACGACATTTTGTTGAACCTGAAAGACATGAGTAA